ACCATAACTTCATTTTTTTAAATGGCACCCCCCATATTTTATTACTTAGTCGTCTTCGGCGTCTCATTTTACATCTTTTATATTCCATATGTCCTATGTCTAACATTAATAGTTTGAGAAATAATTAGGGTTTTTTGAAAAATGCTCACATATCATATCGATATTAACCTAGTGTGCCATGGAAAACAAATGTTTAATGACTTATTGATTAACCAAAACATACTCCATCATGTTGTTTAAGCATGTTCTGAATCCTAAATTCATATCTCAAAAATTGAGTGTTCTATGATTTTTTTAACAAATGTCCGCTGGAGCAGATTTTTCTAGAAAAAATCAAATATCTCGAGAACGGCCGAATCAAATTGCAAAAAGGAAAGTTATTTATAAACCTTCAAAACAGACAAATCCAAATATGTAAAAATATACAGGGTGTTCCATTTAAAAAAGTAAAGTAGGTGGCGACTTCCGGTATAACCGGAAGTGCTAGAAATCTGAAAATATTTTAGATGAAGAGAACGTAATTGATAATAATTAAGTCTGCATTCTCAAATTTTTGGTTTGGCCAGAACCCCAGAAACGTCTAATGACCGGTCTCGCTGAGACACCCTGTATATAACTTTTGAAATCGTCTTAGAAAATTGATGAAAAATTTTTTTTTTAATGTTTATAAGTCGAGTAAATCCTGTTCTAAACCTTGTTTGGATGTGCACTAACTTGCACGTGGGATAAAAATTTCAAGCGAAAAAATCATTGTGATCAAAGCAAAATGGAGCACTTCTCTACTTCACAGAAAATTCAGATGGTGTTAGCTTACGATGAAAATTGCTCTGAGGCCCATCGCATTTATGTTCGAAAATTTCCTGGGGAAAGAGCGCCTTGTCCTAAAACTTTATATCGAATAGTTACAACATTTCTGGAATGTGGTAAGGTGGAGGAAAAAAAACAAACACGTGCAAGATCGGTTACAAATGAACAGAATCAAATAGCTGTTTTAGCAGGTGTAGATGTTAATACTCATGTAAGTTGCCGTCAATTGTCAAAAGATTCAGGCATTTCGTTAACGAGTGTACATAGGATTTTGAAACTAAATAAGTTTCATCCGTATCATGTCTCTCTACACCAACAAGTGCAATTTTGTACTTGGGCTATGGAAAAATTAAGATTGAATGAAAATTTTTTCTTCAATGTACTATTTTCCGACGAATCTCTTTCACCAATCACGGCCAAGTAAATCGTCATACATGCACTACTACTACTAAAAACCTTGGTCAGTTAATGTCTGGTGCGGCATTGTTGGCAATAAAACAATTGGACCTTTTTTTATTGATCGCAATTTGAATGGCAGAAAGTACCGGAATTTTTTCTTGAACGATTTACCGGTTTTGTTGAAAGATCTTACTCTGGAGCGAAGACTTGCGCTATGGTATCAGCATGATGGATGTCCATCTCATTATGCTCTAGCCGCAAGAGAAGTTTTAGACGAAATCTTTCCTGAAAAATGGATAGGACGTAATGTAACTTCTCCCGACTTCTTTCTTTGGGGTTACCTCAAAGAAAAAGTTTACAACCAGGTTCCAACAACACCAAACGATATGAAAAACCGTATCAGAGCAGCTTGCGAATCAATAACTGAAGAAATGCTTTGTAATGTGCGGAGAACGTTTTCAATGAGAATTCAGAAATGATTAGAAGTGAATGGTCATCATTTTGAGCATTTAATCAATGTATAAAGGTAACTTTATAAATTTTAATCAATGTTATAAGGTGATTTCAAAAACGAAGAAGAATTTTAGTATTATTTTACGATTAATTAAATCGTTTTTTTATTAATTCAATTTTTTTAATTACATTTTGAAAAATGTTGTTTTATTTTTGTTTTTGTAGATATCTTCATAACGTAGAATTTAAGGAAAAAAAATTTTAAGCAAACAATACTTACTTTGTCAAGTTGTTCAAGACGTTGAAAGAAAAAAGTATATGTGCGATTTGAAAAAATGAAAATGACGTTAGAAGGGCCTCTAGGCAATCCTGAAAAAACATCTGCTCATGTGTACCCTGTGCCCTCCTTTTCATCAAAAAAAGTTTACTTGAAACATCTTTCGATTCGAGTTTTGGTTTTCGAGATATAAGCATAAGTCATTTTAAATGAAACACCCTGTATAAAAGCTTACAAATCGAAGTAATTGTTTAAAGATGGGTTAAAATCAAGGAGTTAGCATAAAATATTACTATGTTGCATATTTTTATTGCACTAAAACTAGAAATAACACTATACCTAGAACTAGAATCATTTGGGTTTAGCCGTCTTTAGAGACGTGCGGCTAAACCCAAAATATAGTGTTAGTTTCACATAGTAACAGTTCAAGTGTAAAACGAGTACTAACACTATACCTAGAACTAGAATCATTTGGGTTTAGCCGTCTTTAGAGACGTGCGGCTAAACCCAAATGATTCTAGTACTAGGTATAGTGTTAGTTAGAGCCGCACGTCTCTAAAGACGGCTAAACCCAAATGATTCTAGTTCTAGGTATAGTGTTAGTTCCACATAGTAACAGTGCAAGTGTAAAAACAAAACTAACACTATATCTAGAACTAAAATCATTTGGGCTTAGCCGTCTTTAGAGACGTGTAGCTAAACCCAAATGATTTTAGTACTAGCTATAGTGTTAGTTCCACATAGTAACAGTGCAAGTGTAAAACCAAAACTAACACTATATCTAGAACTAGAATCATTTGGGCTTAGCCGTTTTTAGAGACGTGTGGCTAAACCCAAACGATTCTAGTACTAGATATAGTGTTAATTCCACATAGTAACAGTTCAAGTGTAAAACGAGTACTAACACTATACCTAGAACTAGAATCATTTGGGTTTAGCCGTGTTTAGAGACGTGCGGCTAAACCCAAACGATTCTAGTACTAGGTATAGTGTTAGTTCCACATAGTAACAGTGCAAGTGTAAAACGAGAACTAACACTATACCTAGAACTAGAATCATTTGGGTTTAGCCGTCTTTAGAGACGTGCGGTTAAACCCAAGTGATTCTAGTACTAGGTATAGTGTTAGTTCCACATAGTAACAGTGCAAGTGTAAAACCAAAACTAACACTATATCTAGAACTAGAATCATTTGGGCTTAGCCGTCTTTAGAGACGTGTGGCTAAACCCAAACGATTCTAGTACTAGATATAGTGTTAGTTCCACATAGTAACAGTTCAAGTGTAAAACGAGAACTAACACTATACCTAGAACTAGAATCATTTGGGTTTAGCCGTCTTTAGAGACGTGCGGTTAAACCCAAGTGATTCTAGTACTAGGTATAGTGTTAGTTCCACATAGTAACAGTGCAAGTGTAAAACCAAAACTAACACTATATCTAGAACTAGAATCATTTGGGCTTAGCCGTCTTTAGAGACGTGTGGCTAAACCCAAACGATTCTAGTACTAGATATAGTGTTAGTTCCACATAGTAACAGTTCAAGTGTAAAACGAGTACTAACACTATACCTAGAACTAGAATCATTTGGGTTTAGCCGTCTTTAGAGACGTGCGGCTAAACCCAAATGATTCTAGTACTAGGTATAGTGTTAGTTCCACATAGTGACAGTGCAAGTGTAAAACCAAAACTAACACTATATAGAGACGTGCGGCTAAACCCAAATGATTCTAGTACTAGGTATAGTGTTAGTTCTACATAGTAGCAAGGCTAGTGTAAAACTAGAACTAACACTATACCTAGAACTAGAATCATTCCGGTTTAGCCGTGTTAAGACGAAAACTCAGAGTTATCATAAGGACGTCACCTTTTCCAAGCAAAACTTTTCCTTTGCAAAACTACCCAATGTCTGTACTATTAAGCTATGTTGCATTTTGTGTGGGACTGTGCAAGTGCATAGTAGTTTCGTAACTATGGTTATTGCATTCATATATTACCAGTTATATGAAATTCCCGGTATATTATTATTAAGAGATGGTTATGAGTAGGGCTCGGATTTTATGCAAAATGCATCTTCTTTATTTTCTGGACTATTTTTTTCAAAATTGTTTTCTGGCGAATTACATAAAAATAAGGCAAATGGTACAATAAAAAATTGCATATTTTGTATATTTTGTCATTTTACTAGATTTGTTTCTTGTTACTTAATAAAATAAATATAATGACTGCGTGATTTTTAAATATGCGAACATACCTTTTAGTTTGCAACGATTTACAGAAACATGCGGGGAATCCCTAGGGCTGTTGAGTTTAAGTTTAAGGAAATCCCCAACCATAGTTACTGTAGCTGTGTTCAGTGTGAGTGAACATTATTCTACCAATCTATAACAACAATGCCTAAAGTGATATCGTGTCTTGTGTCCCAGTGGATAAAAAGTTATCCCGAACTAAATTTAAATAATGAGGAATTATTTTGTAAAACTTGTGCCAAAGTTGTAAGTATTTTTTTTAAATTATGTCGTAGCGTTTTAGTCAAAGATTTAAATTAAAAATTAGAGTTTTCAGAGGAGTTGCCAATGGTTTGTTCCGAAATTGTATTTCTCATAGACTTTTATACTAGGAGTTAAAAAAAATGGAAAACTGTTAAATTAAAACTATTTTAGAGTCTCAGAATTAAATTTTCATCTGTTAGAGTATCTATGGCTAACTTTTTAATTATTTTTTTTAAGATAACGTGTGAGAGGAAGAAAATAAATAGAACAACATGTGAAAAGTGCAAAACATATACAAAAATGTGATAGAAATAGATTAGATAACAACTATAAGAAAGGTAGATTTTGAATAAAAAGCTTGCATATTTATGCGCATATTGCCTATCTAATTATGAGGCATTATGATGTTATGACTCTTTTGTATCCAATATTATCATTTCGTATATGTTATATAATGTACTATATGAAGCTGTCAGAAGCACCTAGTCTTCTCATTGCAGTATTTAGCTTTCTGCCAGCAATATGTAGTATTTTGGATTTTGTAAAATAGTGGAAGATTTATAACATCCTATGTACATCGCGTGCACTAGATACAAAAAAAATTACATGTTGATTACTAATTTTTATCCTTTATTAATTTTTGTCGAAGAAAGAAGAGTTCAAGGTCAACCGGGCAACGGAAAGATCTCGCGAAAACAATTTCGCTCTTTCTTTAGCTGTCTGCGCTGCTCAAGCGTGTAGATATCGCGCAATTATAGCCCATAATGGATTTCCTGCCTTAGGTCAGATAACAGTTCGGCGGAAATCTCTAAGAATTATTGATTAAAACTGGTTTGTGAATAACTTCGTTGGTCCAGATGTTGTTTTGATCGAATTTAGTTTTCAAACTAATGCACATTGCTGCACCTGTTTTCTTCAACAAGCACGCCGGTCTTCACTTTGAAAGTGAAGGTTGCGGATCGTTTGGCCTCTCGCACGATTACTCACTCACACAATTACTTAAATGCAAGTCGAGAATACTTACTTCGAACTTTCATCGTTAGGTGTGTATGGTTCGAGATTAATTGGACCACTTCTTTATGGACGGCGTCCTCGATTGCAAAACCATTTACCCTTATGATTTGATCTCCAACCTAAAACACACAATTATTATATAATTTTTATCAACAAAAAAAAAATAATTAATCCATTCAATCGTTCAGAAGCAAATACCAGAGGAGGTATTGTAATACAATTGAGCAACTCATGGCACGTTCCAACACAAAAGGCCGTCCCAACTTTCGATTTCTTTGGAGGTCCACGAACGGAAATGCGATTTGTATAAAGTTGTTATCTCTCCCGTTACGTCATTTATTCGCTTTAGCAACAGATTGCTAAATGCCGCTAACCCGGTGATTAATTAAAAGCCTCGTTTCATCGTATTCAATTAGTTGCTATTTCACACTTGGCCAATTTTAGTATTTACCTTTAATCCCTGCCTGTTAGCTTCCGATCCATTTTCAACTTGAGATACGAAAAATCCCGTTCCATGTTCTCGTCCTCCTCTAATACTAAAACCCAAAGTTGGGCCATGTCTGCAAGTAAATCCCGGAGGAGGAAGAGATCCATGACTAGGTCTGATCAATCTAACAGTTCTCATTCGCGGGGTTCTACTCATCATGCTCTCGGATATTGTATCGGAGCTGAAGGTGGATGGCGCATATTGCGAGTTGTAGTCGACCATCATCATGTCTGCAAAACAAACCAAAATTAGCACACAAAACCTATCGGAAACGCCTTGAACTTAATGAACAACAATTCATAAGAAAGTACCGCCCGATTTCCAATGGCAATGATTAATTTATATCGCCAAGAAAACACAATGCAAACGCGCCTACACTCTATCCCTGGTAATTTTAAAACGAGACGTATTAAATTTGCTTAATCGAGAGCCTTTGTTCGTCTTTCAAACAATGATCCCCATTAATTTGAACTGGTGATGTGCACCCGTTGCGTAAAATTTGCCGTGAGAAGTGATTTCACTCTCTCGACCTAGCATCGTTTAGCGGATTCTTGAATAGGTGGCCTGAGATTTGCTAGAAAAGTGAAAAGAACGTGATTGGGTGTGCTTGATTCTTACGAACTTTCAGTATCCAAGTATTTTTTTAATATAATAATTAACTTATTATAACGCACGTGTCATTGCATTAAAAAAAAACGAGTATACAGCATTGGCAAGGTCTTTATACCACAACCACTTCCGTTCGTGCGTTTCGAGGATGTTGTGTGAAAGAAATGCCCTCAAGGTTAACAAAAGTAGGCCCCGACCGTGTTGTCGGTCCAGAGAAAGTGCACGCATATTTTAGAAACTACCCAAGTCAACTACGTTGTGTCTGATGCTTGTTTTATTGAGAAAATGCACATCGAATTGTCAGTATGTTGGTGGTCTTTAAAAAATAATAATCAAAAAAAAAGTAGGTTAATTAGTTATTCACCCGCATGATTGGAAAATTATAATAAATATTTAAGTTTTAAACTTTATTGATGTGAACTCAAGGAATGTGAGACCGTTTGAGTTCGGTCACTCGTGATGGCTACACTCTCTAAGAAATAGAAACGATTCTGCAGCGAATCGCTGGACCTCGACGGGTCAAAGAAAACGTGGAATTCCGTTCGCCAATCCGTTAACTTCACCGATGCCCAGGGGCATATCTGATTCTTTAAGTATTTGCGGTTTGATGGAACACGTCATCTTAACGCTAAGGATTAAACCGGATAATAATACATACCTTAGTTATAAAACCACTTCTTTATTTCAACAAAATCGTTTGGAAACTAAACCAATAAAGTAAGTATCAGGTTGAGACGAAAATATTTTGTAACTTTTTTTTTATGTCTATCAGATAAGATTATTTGCCGTTCTCCAATATGTAGTGTTGTAATTTAGAGTAATGGTATAAGAAAAAACACACCGATAAAAAGTTAACTTATTTATACTTAGATATATTTCTTTTTGATATATTAAGAATGGATTCGTGCAATCAAATGCAGTACTTGTAGTAAATGGTAATTGTAAAGATAATTTTAATTGTTAAGCTTATTGGAGTACAATTCGATTTAACTGTAATTGTTATGGTGGAGGATATAATCTCGATGTATGGAAAAGCTTACAAATCGAAATAATTATTCAAGGATGGATTAAAATCAAGACGCAGTAAATTTGAATATTTATTTATCAGACCTGTATTTACAGAACGATGAAAATCTGATAGAATATTGAGGAAAAACCTACATTTTCGTATAACCTAAAAGTGTCAAAAAAGATACTAATTTAAAAATTTCTAGAAGCCGTATTTATTGAAATTAAGGAATGAGACTTATTCTAAATTAAAGCTCAAAACTTTCTCTTTACAACGATGTATAATAATTGTTGGGTTGGATTGGAAAAATATTGAGAAAAAAATTGTTGAAATAAAACTTACATTTTCGTATAACCTAAAAATGTCAAAAAAGATGCATATTTAAAAATTCCTGGAAGTCGTATTTATTGAAATTAAGGAATGAGACTTATTTTAAATTAAAGCTCAAAGCTTTCTCTTTAAAATGATGTATAATAATTGTTGGGTTGGATTGGAAAAATATTGAGAAAAAAAATGTTGAAACAAAACTTACATTTTCGTATAACCTAAAAGTGTCAAAAAAGATGCTAATTTAAAAATTCCTGGAAGCCGTATTTATTGAAATTAAGGAATGAGACTTATTCTAAATTAAAGCTCAAAGCTTTCTCTTTAAAATGATGTATAATAATTGTTGGGTTGGATTGGAAAAATATTGAGAAAAAAAATGTTGAAACAAAACTTACATTTTCGTATAACCTAAAAGTGTCAAAAAAGATGCTAATTTAAAAATTCCTGGAAGCCGTATTTATTGAAATTAAGGAATGAGACTTATTCTAAATTAAAGCTCAAAGCTTTCTCTTTAAAATGATGTATAATAATTGTTGGGTTGGATTGGAAAAATATTGAGAAAAAAAATGTTGAAACAAAACTTACATTTTCGTATAACCTAAAAGTGTCAAAAAAGATGCTAATTTAAAAATTCCTGGAAGCCGTATTTATTGAAATTAAGGAATGAGACTTATTCTAAATTAAAGCTCAAAGCTTTCTCTTTAAAATGATGTATAATAATTGTTGGGTTGGATTGGAAAAATATTGAGAAAAAAAATGTTGAAACAAAACTTACATTTTCGTATAACCTAAAAGTGTCAAAAAAGATGCTAATTTAAAAATTCCTGGAAGCCGTATTTATTGAAATTAAGGAATGAGACTTATTCTAAATTAAAGCTTAAAGCTTTCTCTTTACAATGATGTATAATAATTGTTGGGTTGGATTGGAAAAATATTAAGAAAAAAATTGTTGAAATAAAACTTACATTTTCGTATAACCTAAAAGTATCAAAAACGATTTTACATCATATTGATTTATACTGTACCAAATTTCAGCGCTTTGCTGTAAACAGTATTTAAGATATTTGGAAAAATGTGTTAAAAATTCTTAACTTTGATGGCCTGTATTTTTGAAATTTGAAGTCTTTTACAAATTTTTTTTACATGAATCGTCATCATTTTCACTCTAGTACATGTGGTTACATTTGTTCCCCGAGTCACCGAAACACCATGTATAATATGAAGCTCATAGCTTTTAACTGATATTATTTTGTCTTCTAATTGTAATATTTAGCTTTCCGCCAGCAATATGTAGTATTTTGCAATTAGTGTTACGTTTTGAAGTGTCTAATTTGTTGCTAGGAGTGTAGAGTTTTATATAAAGTGGATGTAATCTTTTCCAGTCTTCTGCAAACAGTATCTAGTCACTTATTAATGGTATCTAGTCATTTGATAGCAGTACCAACTCTTCTCCCTGAAGTATTTAGTGTTTCGCAAATAGTATGTAGTCTTTTATCAGCAGTATTTAATCCTTTGCCAACAATACCTAGTCTTCTGCCAGCACTAGTTAATCTTTTACAAGCAGTAATTGGTATTATATTAGGATGATTTATTCTTGCACTTCTAGTGCGTCTTTAGCAAATATTTAGCTTTCTGCCAGCAATATGTAGTATTTTGCAACCAGTGTTACGTTTTGAAATGACTAGTTTGTTGCTAGAAGTGTAGAGTTTTATATAAAGTGGATGTAATCTTTCAGTCTTCTGCAAACAGTGTCTAGTCATTTTCTAGCAGTACCTACTCTGTCTTCTGTTAACAGTAGTTTTCTGGCGGAACTATTTAATCTTTTACAAGCAATAATTGGTATTATATTAGGATGATCTATTCTTCCATTGGTGGTGTATTATCTTCTCCATGCAGTATCTTGTTTTTGCTAGCAGTACCTAATCTTCTGCCAACACTATTTAATCTTTTCCAGCAATATGTAGTCTTATATAACAAGAACTAATCTAAAAATAAAACATGGTTTGTTATGTAAACTGTAAGGTATGAGTATAAATACTATTTATTTTTTGTACAGTGATTAATATTAAAATAAATATTAAAAAAAAGTATTGTTTTAAAGAAAGAATTTTATCTAAAAACCTTTTGTTTATGAGTAATGTAAAAGTTAATATTTAAAAAGGTTTGTTTAAATATATATACTTAAAAGATAAGTGCAAAAATGTTTGTTGATGAACAAATAACTACGTCACAAGAATGAAATAGCACGGTATTTTTCTTTTTTTAAATTGAATGGGTAATATTTCAAAAGAAGAACTCATTCAAGGCCAAATGATGAATCCCAAGTTAATCCGGTGGTACTTCTGAGCCAAATGGAGATAGTGGTTTATTATGCTAAGTCTGCAAGTCAACGTTCAGTTGCTAGAAGACCGTGGAATGCAAATAACGAACGTTGACCACGTTAATAATGGGAAGGTAATCTGGCCAGGGCAAGATGGCCAAGTGCTCGCTTTTAATGAGGGACAGTAATTGAGTAAGTGTTCCGAGAAAAGTTAGTCTCATCCGACGCCGCATGACAGGATTACGTTCAACTTTGAAAATAAAAAAATCATTTCAACTAAAATTATCGACCACAACCAAGCGCAAGAAAAGCAACGAAGAATCGCCAACAATAATCATAAATCACAGCTGGTGTTCCAAAGGAAACGCTTGTGCATCGGGGAATTATGTGTTCCCTTGACTTCTAGAGCTCTAGAAGCGAACGTCCCAAGGCTTAAGCTGCTCTTTCAACGATGGAGAAGGGTCTTTGAGAGGAAAAACACTACGATTTGCAAGGAATTTATTTGATTTCCTCCCATTAATAAACAACACTTATAACGGCCTTCAATGTAATGAGCTTTAAGCTTCATTATAACTGTACCTTTATTTCTATTCCTCATTTCACTTCTTAAACCTCAACGTTAATAACTTTCCTACTTTATTTTATTTTACATGATAATTAAAATGCATATCAGATTTATCCGAGAATTAAAATTAACTCAAGACTTTCAATTTAAATTTAAGAAAAGATAAAAAATAAACGATATCTCGTTGTATTTCATTCCATAGCATAGACACTAATCGGTTTCTGATACAGCATTAGATAAAAATCGATGATTTAGTTGCGGTTAGTACGACAAAAGCAGTCTCGGTTTTATGGTCAAGTCGCGAACGTGTTATGCCATAAGTTCTTCTACAGATCGTGGAGTAATATACACAGGTTGGTATGGCTGTAAAACAAACCGTGGTGTAATCGAGTCTCACCGC